AAATCCTAGAGTTCTATCCTGCCCCACAGGATGACTGTGAATTGGAATCAGGTCCAAGGCGTTGAGTAGCGGTTCAGGAACATCTCAATAGACATGGAATCAATTGATCAAGTCCGTTAGGAATCAGTAACATCAAACTTGCCACCACAGGTGACTGGAAGGAAATACGTTGATTAAAGATCATGAATTCGCAGAAAGGGAGAGAACGTGTGATTTGTGGGCAGAGGGGTTTTATCTTCAGATTGATGATGCTTCTGTTGCCATGGAGAAAGGATGATGCTGTTTTCCTGGTGCCAACTTCTTCTTTAAGACGTGCCACGATACAAAGATAAACAACATCGCTGAACTGGTCTAGACAGTTCCAGCATGATAGAGGGGAGGCAGCAGAGGGAGACAGAGAAGAGACATCATTAGGATGAGTGCGGGCATCCTCGCGAGAAATTCACATCCCAAACTTCATGGGGCCGTGTACCTGTCAGGAGGCTACAGGGGCTTCTCCACGCGCTGTGTCTGGTTGTCAGAGCCCAGGAGAGACTTGACATCAGGGATGATCAAGATTTCCCTGAATGTTTGTACATGTTAATAATTTTGTAGCTTTCTATGTTTTGGAACATAAAATTTTAGAATTTTCTATATTTTTATGATGTCTGCACTAACAGGAGGCTACAGGAGATAGCCATCTGTTTCCTGGGGGCTCCTGAGTCCTATGCGTCTTCTAAAAATTAAGCCCCCACTACTCCCCTGCACACAATAGGGCGTCTGCTCCTCGGAGATTCACAGCCTTGGACATGCTGTGGGGAAGCTCTCTCCGTGGGCCACTCTGAGTGGGGAGCCCCTGGACTCTGGTCTTGTTGTTGTTCTCTTTTGTTTGGGTTGAGTGGAGTTGTTCTGTCAACGAGGTAATATGAACCTAGGTGTGTCCTCAATCCATGTCTTCCGAGACCGGATTCCTCCTCCTCTGGCCTCCTCACAGGAAGGTTCGAGGCTCGAAACTACCCAATGACTTAGCCGTCTGCTCCTGAAAGTGCCAGGTCGTTGGGAGAGGGAAAACCCTCTCGAGCCCAGCTCTCCCCGACACGTGAGGGCCCTGAGCGTCAGCCCAGTCTCCGCGAAAATAAACCCTAGTTTCCATCGGGGGATTTCACCAACCTTCCTCCTTCGGTGCCCAAAGTTATCATCCGTTTGCTTTTTTTCTCAACTCTCTTCCGTTCAAGAAGCCCTGCCCTCTCCCACCCACCGAGTAACATAGTTGGACGCCAAAGATACTACTATTGTGATCGTTGTCAATGTTCAACCTTTAAGGTTGTAACGATCAATATTGTTTAAAAACTCTTACCTACTGGAGAAACGACTACCAGAGGGCAGCGGTGTCCCGTGACTACTCACCTAATGGACATTCCCAGGACAGTCGTCTAAAACAATGGGTAGGACAGGGAAGAAAAGAGAAGACATAGAATGAACAGACAGCCGTCATCGTCCTGCGTCTCTATTGACAGGCGCCCTCTGAGTGACAGCTTTTAGAAAGGATGAGCTGTTTGGGGGGCACAGGAACCCCCATCCTCAGAGGCTTTCCTCCCAGCGGTAAATCTGGTAAGTGCTTTTATTTCGGGGGAAAGAACAGAGTGTCTTTACCTGCTTCCATGGCGTCGACTATGTTCTCTGGTGGAATACCATTCTCTTGAACCAGCTGCACAAACCTCTCGTAGTCTTCCTTCGACACATCTTTGGTTTTTGCTGTACATCAAGGAACGGGAGGCAAGAGGAAGAAGCATTTTCAAGATGACAGACGGTGGCTAGTGGATCTTCTGTCGGTCATATTTGGTGGAGCCCAAATAGTTAGCATGGTATTATTATGTGCTTTCTGAGGAGGAGACCTGGAAGCTCTAACGAAGATAAGTGGGCCGCTAATTGTCAGGACTGCCATTGGACACCGGCAGTCCTATAGAGCCACGGTGAGCCCAGCTCACCTCAATGACATGACTTTGCTTGTGTAGTTTTGCTGAGAAAACTAAAGAGCCCAGGGTGCCTACATGGATCTTGTCTCTGGTGAATCCCCTCTGACCAACGTTGAAGGGCGTGAAGAGCCTTGATAACAGTAGAAGAGTGCTGACAACTCAATTATGGCAGATGTAATTAGGTTAAAATGTAATCCCTGATCATTTTATCTCTCTTTTAACCCATTTTAACTTTGTCGTAATTTTTAAATTTCTTGGTTGTTGTTTTTATCGATTGAGATGTTTTTCTTCACTCATTTTGATATTGTTGTACTTTTCTGTTGTTGGTGGTTTTATTTGGGTGAATTTTGCAATGTATGAAGTCCAGGATAGGCAAATGTGAATTCCTGACTAATGGGGGATAAGGAGGGGAGGTTGGAGGGGAAGTGGAGAGGTAACAATGGATTCAAGAAGGAAGAAAATGCTCTGCAATTGATTGCGGCCATGACTCCAGAACCCCTTTGCTACGACCTAAGAAAGGACCCATATGAGATGTGAATTAGACCTCCATAAAACCACATTAAAAAAAGAGCCCTGAGAAGGTTGGGAGGGGGATCTTAACCTCAAGGCCATCATTTCAAACCCCCAAGCAGCTGCTCGGGAGCACGAGGAGGCGGTGGCTGCTGTCAAGATTGACATCCTCCGTAAACAGGAACAAAGCGACTCCATCCTATGCGGTCGCTGTCCACTCAATGATTGGATCAAGGGCAATGAGCTTGCTTATGTCATTAGGTTTGTGGAGGAACTCAAAGCGCCTGGGGGATGCTATCTGGTATAAGTTGGATTTTCAACCTTCAGGTCAGCAATTCAACCCCACCAGCTTCTCCAAGTGGCCAGGATGGAACTGTCTGCTCCCATCGAGATGTTCAATCTCAGAAACCATACCCAGGGTTGCTACGAGCCGGGACGGGCTGGATGGCAATGAACTTGGTTTCCAGTTCTGGGTGTTCTTGTCTGGCCCTCACAGAATGGGGACTCGGACTGGTTTACGCGCCCCACCAAGTACAAGAGCCCCGTGTGGCATGGCAATTGGAATACAACCAGGACAACACAAACCCACGCATCAACTTGGGAAGCAGCACACTGAATCTGCGACCATACCGTAGGTGGGTTTACTGCTCAACAGGTTCAAATGTATCTGTTATGGATGGAAAATGCACGTTGTCAACGCGAACCCCCATCCCAGAGGTCACAGGCGTGCAAGATCTCCGTTCTCTGAAGGAGGCTGTGTGAGTGGACAGTGTGCCTTCAGTCAATCTCTTGAGATATTCAGGGGACAGCTGCAACAAGTAGCAAGGACACAGCTGGACAGAAAGAAGAGCGAAGCTGTGTGACGATTAGCAAGGAATCTAGAACTCGGAGAGAGAGAGAGCTTTCTCTTCCAGCTATTGTGGTTAGGGTTGGGACCATTAAGTCTCTTCTGACTTGAATTATGTTGCAACCGAGGGGGAAAAGGTCAACAAACCAAAAACAGAGTAAAAAGAGCTAACTGAAATTAATCACAAATGTGCCCACAGACCACATCACGATCAACTGAGTAAAGAAGGGAGTTGTCAGATTGTTCGATTTGCTTGGACACACAGTCCATGCTCCTGGACGCAGCAGTCAGAACATCAGAGTCCTTCGACTACTGGTCCAGACCACTTTAAGTGTGGTTGAAGAGGGGTGTCACTTTCAGGGCCAAGCTAGCCCCGCCTCAATCTTGCAAGGTGCTTTCTAGAGCTTCATAAACATTTGAAAGCAGGGTAGTGAACAATGAGGACTGAAGATTAGATTCACTGAAATGTCATCCTCACCTGTCCAATCCATACCTGTAGCTCCCCAGTCATTGAGGAAACAACTTCCTGCACCTGGAAGCCACCTTGTTGGGATTTTCTGGGACAAAGGTGCTGGGGCACTAGGACAGTGCCCATCGTGACTCTGTGGAGGTGGCCCAGAGAATGTGATGGGTTGTGTGCTATCACCGAGACGGTGAGATAAAACCTTGGGGGGGGGGTGTAGGGGGGGAGGTGCTGCAGGAGCAGCAGGCTCAAGTCTGATCCGGTAGAAGCTGCTTCGTGCTGCAGCTGACTCTTCTTGGCAACGCTCTTTCGTGGGTCTCAGTTGATGTTGGGATAACCTCATGGTCTGGGAGGCTGACATGATTGTCGCCAGGACTATCTATACTCCACTCTGTCTGTTGGAACAGAAGCTTAAGTTCCAGCTCACTCGAGGGACTGGCCGGCATGGATAACGTCACCGCCACCTCAGCATTTATTGGATCTTAGGGCTGGGAGTTCACATGTTAAATCGTTTTTGTAAACTGTTTTTCACCATCCCTAAGAGCTCATTTCTCACCCCATAAACCCCAGGACTCTGTGTTTCATGAAAGCCTGACACCGTATTTCTCTTATTTTTGTGAACACCTGGTGCTGCCAATCCGGGAAACTACACAGTGGGGCCCTTGGGATACGTACTTAATAATTTAACCATTTTTGTGCTTTTGCCGTCTTTGTCTTTGTTGTCATCAAGTACCATGATCGATTTCTCATTGTGATGTAAAAACTGGTAAGTGTTATCTCCGTAATCTGTGAAAGTCAGAAGTCAGTATGTTAGACCTCTTGATAAGCAACGCCCCACATTTCTTGTCCCCTGCTGTGGTGTAGGGTGACCTATGCTGCGTCTCAGGACCATCCCCATCTTGCTGACCTTGCTCAGAAACCGTTAGACTCTGGGACGAGGGTTGGGTCTCGCTCGTCAACACCCCCTAAGCTGAAAGGGATGCCTGTGTCTCCAGTGGTGTCTACGTACCACCAGAGCATGGCTGCTATGGGGTGTCCTGGGGAGGGTTCTGAGTCATGGCCGCCATGTGTCAGACCGCAGGACCACCCAACAAGGTTCCCAGCGCTGTCCTCTGTAGATTAGATTGCCCCGTCTTTTTCCCTCTGAACACTGGTGGGTGCAAACTCATAACTTTCTGTTTGCATTCGACTGTTTAACACCACACCTTCCGGGTTCCTCTGCCAGGGCACAGGTTTGGGGACGGCAACAAAGTTTCAGAAAGAGAGGAAGCCTATTGTGGGTTGAGTGGTGAGAGGGAGTCGGATCGCGTGTACAGAGCGCATTGTCAACATCGATTGTTCTCACCGTGGAACTAAGGTGAGTCCGTTGTCAAGGACAGTTATTATTCAGAACAAAAGTTTATGATCTATTTGATAGACAGGTTATGGTCAGATTGTTGGTGGACAGAGAGATGGATGATTTTATAAATCAATAGTTAGATGGATACACAGATAGGTAAATAGATTAATGAAGTATAAATGGATGGATGGTTGGATCCATATATGTATGGATGAATGGATATAACGTGGATGAATAGATGGGCTGACAAACAGATAGATAGGTAGGTAGACTGGTAGGTAGATAATGGATGAATATTTATATGAAGCCTGGGTGGGTGGATGAATGAATGGGTGCGTGTGGGTAGGTAGAATCGCTCTAATGTTCTTCACTCAGGGTGGGACCATGTACAACAGGGTGAGCTATGGCTTGGCCCTGCGCCATCGTCACGATTTGTTGAAATGGTTACTGTGGAATTGTGGAATTGTGACAATCCATCTCACCCAGGGTTTCCATCAAGGTCACTGTGCCTCTACTTCATCCCAAAATTTCTTCTTCCAGCTCTCCTTCCCTCTACATAATGTGTCCAACGTGAGCCCATGGGACTATGTTCTCTGGGAGTGCAAACCGTTCCCACTGGCTGGTTTTCAGAAGGTGCTCAGCAGACCTTCCTTTCTGCTCTGCCTCAGCCTGGAAGGTTCCCTGCAACCTGCCCAACACAGGTGACCCTGCTGGTGTTTGAAGTAACGGTAGCAAAGCGACCAGCATGACAGCAGCAGGCAAGCCACCCCAGGAGGACACTGTGACAGATTGGTGGAAGAAACGGAGAGTCAGGCAAATTCTACAGCACTGAAGACAGTCGACTCCCAATGGAAAACTGCCGGGCCGTGTTGCTGCTCTGCACCCTGATCTTTCCCTCTGTGTTTGGGGGCTGTTGAATCTGTGAGCTCTTTGTTGTGCACAGGAGCCACGGTGGCTTTGTAGCGTCTGTTCTCAACTCACTATTGATTGGCATCAGACTGGGAGCTTGCCATGGGCCAGAGTGTGAGGATGTGCTCATTATAAGTTAGCAGACGCTGCGACTGGGGCTCGGTGCATCCTTTAGTTGCAACGATGAGCGGGCTCAACTGCTCAACTTAACTTTCCTGGTTTACGTCCATTCGTAGGCACCTCAGAAGAAAAGAAGCAAAAACCCACCGAACCTCCTACAGAGGGCAGTTCTAATGGTCGCCGCTGGGGCCGCCGTCAGTGGGACTCAGCTGCACTGCAACTGGCCTGGTATGCTTCTACGCAAGGGGTCATGGGGTGGTACAGAGGATTAACACTGCAACCGAAAGTCCCAGTCCACCCAGGGGCCCTGCAGAGGAAGGGGTGGCAACCGACTTCATAAAAAGCAGCCATTGGAAACCTCATCCACTGCACTGAAACTCCTGGCGAAACCCGGATCCCGAGTCATCCCGAGTCAAAGACTGGTCTGAGAGCTGACGTCTGGACACTCACTGCTGTCTGGTGTGAAACTGACCTGAATCGGAAGACAAGCATGGGGAGAGCCTCCTGGTTCTTGGGGGTGCATTTGCAATAAGGAGCAGGGGCTGTGGGGAATTCCAGACCTCTGCAGTGAAGATACTCACAACCAGTTCTGAACACACCCTTTTGGGGTTTTTCTCCCACTACTGAAATCAGCCGGCATCCACCGGAAGCCCTTCAGGAGAAACAAACAAACATCACAGCATTCCTAAGTGTGCATTCCCTTCCCAACACACTCTTCCTTCCTTTCTCTTTTTCTAAACGATTTTGTTCGATGGGGCGTTACTGAGAATACAGAGAACAGAGCGTCCATGAACTCAGTGATATCCACGCGTGTGGTTCAGGGTCACGGAGTTGTGTAACCGTTGTGCCCCCCCAACTCCCACCGAGTTGTTTCTCCCTCATGAGAACAGAACCATTTCTCCCTACGCTTCCGGTCAAAACTTTTCTGTCCTGGTGGTCAGTTTGCTCCTGTCTAGACAATTCTTATAGACGTACAATACTTAAAGCAGACATTATTACCCGTTCAGCTAAACATCGGTCCTTTCAGAAAGACTTCAGGTGATACTTTGATCTAAGAATTAAAACATAAAGATAGACTCAAGTCGGTCATTTCCGGGGCTTGTGCACCCTGCATGCCTCCAGGAAATCTGGATCCTATCAGAGGTGACTCTGGAATTTGCTCCTGAGGGTTGAGCAGGAACGGCAAATGGAGGAGCTCATGAAGGAAAAGAATTGACAAGGAGCTCTCAAGGGGCAGCTTGAGAAGAAAAAAGTAGCGTGCTGTCATGAGATCAGCAAAGAAACCGAGTGAAAAAACCCCAAAAGCAACAACATGCTCAAAGGAAATGGAAACGGGGAAGAGAAAGTTCAGGCCCAGAGTTGCCTCGCTGAAGGATTCGAAGGGCAACGTATCGCGTGCTGCAGAACCACAGCAAAACCACATGGAAGCAAACGCCAGAGTCACAGCTCCGAAATGAACTGGTTGGCATCCAACTGTTTCAAGAGAGCTGATGCGATCAAGAGCAGATGGTGCTGAAAGAAGGAGTCCACAGTCCAGCGAAGGCAGCAGCGAAAAAGGGGGATGCAGGAATGGGCGGATACCAATCCCAAGGTTTCAAGAAGCTCGTACAGCACTGGAAGGACTCCTAGTCTGAGCCAAGACATTTGGCAGACCTCGAGCTGACCAACTGAAAGACATCCAAAACTGTGCTGATGTCAAAGAACCAGGGCCCCAGCGGAATGTGGTAATGAACTACCGGAATCCCCAATATCACATGCAAGTGAGGGTTGGTGTTGCTTAAGGTCTTTCAGGAGAAACACTGCATCCACAGGGAGCTGACCACAGTTCACGCCAGATTGAGAAGACTTGGAGTGATTGCTGCCATGGCTGGCAGCAACAGGGAATCCCAGAAAGGCGTTTGCTTGTGCTGCATTGTACAGGCCCTCCACAGTGTGCAGCTTAACAAAGTAGGGACAGCACTCAAGGGCTGAGAACTCCAGGACACTTGATGGTGTTCATGCAGAATTCAACGTGCACCCAGAGAGAGTCGTTAAACAGAACTGGGGTTGTACCAGGGCTTTGAAATGAGAAAAGCTGTGTATCCCTTCACCCTACTTACTCCATCCTCTTGCTGAGCAAAGATTCCCAACAGCTGGACGGGATGAAGACGAGAAAGACAGCCGGCGTTGGAGGAAGCGTCAACCCCCCACACTCAGGTGGCACAGCCATGCTTGCTGCAAGGGAAGGCGACTCGGGGCACTCGAAGCTCAAAGATCCTTGCCTGCAGCGAGGATTCCGCGATGCACAACAAGTCAACGTAGAGAAAACCCAAATCCTCAAAAGCAAACCCGCAGACAACCAACCTCATAGCTGAAGAGATGCGGCTGAAGGGGCACATGATTTCCTTTTACTTTGATTCCCACGTGCAGGGAAGCAGCCGAGATGGCATCATGAGTGGCCTTGGTAGATTGTCTGCACAAGACCTCTTCAGCATGTTCATGAGCAAAGGGGAACGTTCAAGGCTAAAGACTGCCTGGCCCAACCCATGGTATTTTCAATCTTCTCCTGTGCAACTCTGAGACCAGATGCAGTTCCATCAGCTGCATTTTTGATGGGTCATGTTTAGGGAGATTTCACTTACTTGACGTAAAAGATTGCTGTTATGTAGTCGCCTCCTTTAGAAACAGTGAGGTTACGGAGGTATCCATGAAGTGGTCCACCCACCTCAATCTTCTTCTTGTCGCTCGCTGCTGCGTACGTGTTGTACCATATCCCTGTCATCTGCAAGGTGGTCATAAGAAACGTGAGTCCTCTTATCCGCCCACTTCAGACAGAAAACGAGGAACGGGTCTGATCTTGTTGAGGAAAACAAAATTAACCCAGGCCCACAATGCAACCATCAACCGGAGCTCAGAGTGCCTCTTGAGAGAGCAGCCACAGCTCCACCCAACCCCAAGGAATTAAAGTCCAAAGGAAGCAGAAGCAAAGCCGTTGTCATGGAGCTGGCTCTGATGCCTGACGATACCACAGGGGTGGCTGAGTCTCTTCACTGTGAGACACACCCACAACCCAACCCACTGACACTGAGGAGATGCTGACTCTTGGAAACCCATTATAGGACCTCTGAGACGCTGCATCTTCATGGGAACAGACAGCCTCATCTTTCTCCCTGAGACAAGCAGAGTGGGGAATTATGAACCGCTGTCAGACAGGAGCATGGCTTTAGGGACACACACATGGGTGGACAAAACCGCATATAGACTCTGATGCAAACTCATCTAGATGAACACACACACACACACACACACACACACACACACACCTCAGGTGACAACTTATTCTCCAACTGTTCTTCCAGTTTGGCACAAACCAGACCAAGGAGCAACATCAAGAGCAGGGTCTTCATGCTGAAGGTGATCATCAGTCCCTTCGTGACAGGAGCTCAGGTGAGATGGCAGGTGAGACACTCTGAACATGACCGCACCTTTATATCATTTCTGCCGCAAGGACCTGATGGTCGTCAGCCAGAAGGCAGGGCCTCGCTGCCAGTGTTATCATAAGATCCGGCTTGGCAGTGAGTCTGTCCCTTGCCTTGGGGATGTGCACTCATGATACTCATCTTCTGAGAAGGTTCAGGTCAGGTGGGAAATTAACCTTTCAGGGGACAGCAGGTACAGGACGTGATTAAGACAGTGTGTCAAGGAGAGTCAGGGGCCACCCCATCATTGTGGTTACGTTTGATTCCGTTGTTAACGTCACAGAGTTCATCCATCTCCTGCAGGGTCTTGCTCTTTTTAAATGACCCTGTACTTTACCATGAACTATGTCCTTCTGTAGGGACTGGTCCCCCTGAGAACATGCCTGACGTAGGTGAGACCAAGTTTTGCTCTCTGGGCTCTAAGGCGCATTCTGAGTATATTTCTTCCAAGACAAGAGTTATATCTTCTTCTGGTAGTCCATGTAAACTCAAGACCAGTGTTATCTCATTGACTGTCCGCGGGTGGACCTCACTAACTGAAATGCAGGGAGCTGCCCGAGGCTCTACCAATGGACAGGCGGCCTTTTCCTTCAACAAACCCCAGATGGTGGTTAAGCGTGCAAGAGACTTTGGAGTTGAGTCCGACCCTCAGTGGCCCCCTGACTGACAGGCTCAATGGCACTTCCCGGAGTTTCCAAATGTCTACTTTTCCAGAGGACATGTGTCAGGTATCACTCCGAAGGGGTGTCTAAGCGGATATGATCCTACAACCTCTGGTTACCAGCCAAGGACCTGAAATCTGTTGTTGGCTGCTGTCGGTAGGTTCCAATCCTTAGCTGCCCCGTGCACCCCGGAAGGACACCCAGTCAGGTCCCGAGCTATCCTCACCGTCGTTCCTCAGCGTGAGCCCATTATGGTAGCCTCTGTGCCTGTCCATTTCCTGCGCTGGGGCAGCTTGCGCACTGCGGGGCTGCTGGAAGCTCTGTCACTGGCAGTTGAAGGGCCGAAAGGTTCGCCACAAGGGGACAGCTTCCAGACTAAGAGCAGAGCGTGCAGGTGAACGCAGCTGTCCAGTCTGCAGGGAGTAGCTGCTGAGAACCCCAAGCGCATTCCTATAAATAGCATTCTTCCACCCTCCAGGAAGAGCGAGGTAAATTTGGGGGGGGGGGAGTTCAAGAGGGTGGCCATTCCCACTCACATCAGGAATCCAAGGCACACATGTGGCCATCCGTGGCCATCAGGATGACAACGTCAGACATGTCACGGAGCACTTCTCCTCCACCCTGTGGGTGGCTATGACTGCATGGGAACCCCTGGGGTTTTCTTCTGTTTTCTTGATGACTAGGGACGTATGAGGGGAGCTAGTAGGTTACAAAGCAGTAACGATTCTGAAGTTCTTTTGTCTGCAATGCCTCTTCCCGGCCACTCTTGAGAGCATGCCTCGCTCTGCTCCTCAGCTTCTCGGCAGTGCGGTCCCTCAGCCCTGCCTGGTTCCGGGGCCGGGACGCCTGGTCCTCCCAGTGTCACCGCTGTCCTCTGCTCGTCTCATGGTCTTGGTGGCTTGGCCTCCGTTGTCTCCCTTCAGGGTGAGGGGTCTCACAGGGGCTCCTGTGGGAGTTCTTCTCTCTTGGCGGTCAGGGGTTCTCTCTGCGATTCTGAAATAGCTTTCTGAACCCTCACAGAGCAAGGAGGCTCCACGGGATCTTTAAAGCGTGTAACTTTAGCCAGTTTTCCCTTCAGTTCTTACTTTGAGGGACACAGAACATTCTTCCCCCCTTGTCTCCTAATTCTGGGTCCGTGCACGTTTTGTTACAATAGTTTACCTTGTTTTCTCCAGCTGTTCTCTGAACTTTTCTGTGCACGCATTCAAGTTGCTTTAGCTTTTTAATTTTATTTTATTAAAAGATCACTTTATTGAGGGCTCACACAACTCTGATTACAATCCACACAGCAGTTGTATCAGGCATATTTGTACATAGGTTGCCATCATTCTTTTCTAGACATTTACTTTCTGTTGAGCCCTTGGAATCAGTGTCTCTTCCCCCCCTCCCTCACCCTTACCCGCATGGCCCCTTGATAAATTATTATTTTTATCTATCACACCGACCTGTGTCTCCCTTCCCCCAGGTTTCCTGTTGTTCTCTCCCCGGGAGTGTGTGTGGTGTTAGCTTGATCATTCTGATCCGTTCCCTCTTCCTCCCCTTCCCACTTCCCCCTTGCCTTTTGGTATCACTTTTCCCATTCTTGTTCCTGGATTCCGTGTGTAGCATTTTCACAAACCTGTAGAAGCGAGTGTCAGCATCTCTGCTGACATCCATGTCAGCCTCTTCTTATCCCCCCACCTCTCTTTGTAATGATCTATTGCTTCGAAATGACCAGGGCTTCAAAAATTCTGCAGAAAGTTGGGAGCAGGGAGGGAGGGGAAAAATGAGGAGCTGATGCCAGGGGTTTAAGTGGAGAGCAAATGTTTTGAGAATGTTAAGGGCAATGAATGTACAAATGTGCTTTACACAACTGATGTGTATATAGATTGTGGTAAGAGTTGTATGAGCCCCTAATAAAATGATTTTTAAAATTCTGCAGAAAAACACAATTAAAAATAATTGGATGTTTCGATGAACTTCCTTATACCGTCCTTGATAACATTCCAGTCTGCCTTGTGTTCGCTCATTAGCATTCAATGCAGCAAATCTACTCTAGAAATGGCCTCTAAATTCAGGTGGGATAAATTCAAGGTAGTTTTTTTTGGAGCTCTCTTGTGCTGGTTTTAATTATTTTTTCAGCTTCAACCTGCACATGCTGATGAGTCATTAACGGCGTGTTCCACGGTTGGCCCCTGCCCTTGTTGACTGATGAGATGGAGTTTCTCCACAGTCTTTCCCCAGAAGATTCGATGCCTGTGTCTTCCGTTTGGTGAGATCCAAATGACCAACTGCTGTCTACATTGTTGAAAACGTTTTTGTGTGAGGATATCACAAAATTCCATCATGTCACCTCCAGTTTCATTTCTGTCACCAATGCCATATTTTCCAATTCCCAGTCCTTCCTCTGTTTACAACCTATGAGGGGCTACCCCCCAAAAAACGTTTTAAGTTTTCTTTTTACAAAACAATCTCATCCCCTTCAACATCCTCTCCATTATGACTTAATACATTTGTCAAATCTGTGATTCCACACTTGGAAACATTGTTCCAACTCATCTGTGTGGATGGCTGACAGCACCTCCCTTGTTTTATCTTCACTTCTACATCTTCAAATCGCTGTCCTTTCATGTCCGTCTTCATTCGCAGAAACAAACAAAAAAAATCTCAAGGAGTGAAGTCAGGTGAGTCAGACAGATGCACTGAGATGCCTGCACGCGAGCAGGTGCATTGTCGTGGTGGCAAAACCAATTCCCCCACCGGTTGCCACAAGTCAGGCCTTTTTTGTCACACACTGTTACACTGTCTTTTCAGTACTTCTACATAGAAAGTTTTATTAACAGTGACCTGCTGAAACGAACTCCCAAATGCTCTATGAGTCGACATTTTCATTCGTTCGTCAAGTTGATGGACGTCCAGAAGGAGGTTTGCCATCCATGAACATCTCACCTTCTTTGAAACGAGACAGCCACCCACACACTTGAGTTCTTCCCATAGCGCTGCCCCAGTCAGCTGTGTTCAGCAGCACAACAATTCCTGCGGCATTTTCCAGAGCAGGAAACAGCGTTTCACCGCCGCACGCTGTTCTCTTAAGTCGGCCGTCACAAAAAGGTTCCTAGTACTTTTTTAATATATGCTACTTCGTATAACATTTTTCTCTGTGAAGCGGTACCTTACACAGTTTGCAAATATACCTGGTTTCACTTCTTTTTCCATGGGCAGCGCAAACTCTACAGGCTCTGGTCGGAAATGTCTTTTTCCATTGCTTCAAAGGAACACAGGTTCATGCTGCTTCACGAATTATCTCGTGATCCGTCTGTAACAGATATTGGGCGAAACACGAGTAAACTTGGCACCCATCCACAATGTGTTGGCTGTGTGACATCACCCACTTATGACGTCACTCACCGTGTCACATGTTAGCTGTATGATGTCACCCACTATGTCACGTTAGACATTTGATGTCACCTACTGTCACATGCTAGCTGTGTAACGTCACTCACATATGATGTCACCTCTTATGTCACATGTTAGCCGTATGATGTCACCCACTATGTCACTTATTAGTTGTATGGCATCACTCACTACATCACATGTTGCCGTATGACGTCACCCAGTATGTCATGTTAGCCATGTGACTTCACCTACTATGTCACATTTTAGCCGTATGCCGTCACTCACTTATGGTATCACCAACCATGTCACATGTTAGACATGATGTCACCAAGTATGTCACCTGTCAGCCATATGACGTCACACCAACATGTCAATTTTATGTCACACGTTAGTTGTAGGACATCACGCACTTATGACGTCACCAACTATGTCCCATGTTAGACATATGATATCACCATGTCACATTAGCTGCATGACCACCCACTTATGACGTCACCAACTATGTCATATGGCGTCACCCACTATCACATGTTAGCTTCATGATGTCACTCACTTATGACATCACCAACTATAACACGTTAGCCATATGACATCACCCATTATGTCATATGTTTGCAATATGATGTCACCCCCATATGATGTCACTTTTATGTCATGTTATCCATATGATGTCACCCACTTATGATGTCACTATGTCACATGTCAGCCATATGACCACAGCCACTATGTCACATGTTAGCCTTGTGATGTCACCCACTGTGTCACGTTAGCCATATGACATCACCCACTAGGTCACATGGCAGATATATGACGCAACCCAATATGTCACATGTTAGCTGTGTGATGTCACCCACATATGATGTCACATGTTAGCCATATGGCGTCATATGTGGTTGACGTCATAAGTGGGTGACATCACATATGTGG